AGCCCCCAATCCTGAGGCCAGCCTGCCTCCCTGCCCCACAAGGCACCGTGGCTCTGTCACCTGGGCCCTGCAGATGCCCAGGCCACAGCGCTGTGTCCCAGATCCCCCTGAGCCAGAGTTCTGACTCCACAGAGCTGCTCGCACCATGTGGAGGACGCTCATCTCCTCCAGAAGGACTATGGAGCCGGTGCTGCAGATCCTCTTCCTTGTGCTGGAATTCTGGCCAGCGCACAGGACACGCACCTCGGATGGGGATGAGAGCGATGTCTTTGCCCTGGCTGTGAGTTTATTGAGCTGGCCTCTGCTCACCCCCAGCTTTCCTCTGTGATGCCTTTCCATCCTCCCTCACCACTGCTTCTCCCTGCTCCAGGCACTGGGCTGCAACCCTGGCTTAGGGGCAAGTTCAGGGCCACCAGGCGGGGGGATCCCCCTGTGTCTCCCCTGGCCTCTCCCTGCCACGCTGGGGCCCTGCCACATGGACATCTGGGCCCTGAGAGCTGTCTCTGGGTGCTTTGTCTTTGGCAGGCAACTGTGGCACTCTGGGAGATCCTCCAGCTGCCCTGGTGCCCAAGGGGCGTGAAGAAAAATTTCCCCCGCCTCCTTCTGACTCTGCTCTTCCAAGTTTTCATCAGCACAGAGGAGATGTCAGAGGAGGTCGAGACCTTCTGGGGGAGATGCCGGGAGCAGCGCAGCCTTACCCCCAACCCCAACAGGTGCTCCATCCCAGTCCTCTCTCCCTGCCATGCCCTCGGGGCTGGGGCCAGGGCTCTGCGCCTGACCTGGGCTGTGCTCTGCACACAGGTTTGCAGTGCAGACCGTGAAAGCCCTGCTGCGCCAGCTGCTGGATGAGGACGTGGTGATGGTGATCCATCGCAAGTGTGGCTGGGACATGCTCCTCAAGGCTGACACCCACCACTATGCAGTGGGTCTGCTGGCCAGGTGAGAGCCCTTTCTCCCCACTGCCCCCGGCATTCCTGCCCTGTGCACAGGCCACCCCACACAGTGCCCGTGCTCCTGGGCCAGAGGGCCTTGGCAGCCAGGGATGGCTGAGCAGAGTGGCAAAGGCGGAGAGGGGCGGCTGCACAGGAGGAGCCACCTCCCAAAGCGCCCATGTCCCCTCCCGGGCTGGTGGCCAAAGACCAGGCCTGTGTGAGTCAGTCCCAGGAGAGCTTTGCCCACCTGGCTCAGGGTCTCTGGTGCCTTTATTCCCCCTTGCAGGGAGCTGTGCCGTGTCTCCCACTCCTTCTGCCGCAGCATCACCATCAACCTGCTCTCACGGCTCAGCAGGGAAGAGCCCCTGTGGGAACTGCCTGCCCTGGCGTTCCTGGTGGAGGTGAGCCTGATGGCGAGCGCTGCCTGGCCCAGCTGCCTCCCCCTCTCTGCCCTCTCACAGCCGCAGCCACCTGGGACGGTGCCTGCACCCTGTGCTGCTGCCTGGGCCCAGCCCCGGGCGGGTCCGGGCTCCTGCCGGCCGGGCACCCCGTCACTGCTCCCTGCCTTTCAGGTGCTGCACTGCCTGAACCCCAGACAACGTGGGCTCAGAGTCCTGCAGATTATTTCAAGGCACCTGCAGAGGGAGTGCCCCGAGAGGCGTCGCCTGGCGCTCCGAGGCCTGGTGGTGATCAGCAAGGCTCCCGCACTGGTGAGCAGGGGGCAGGGGCTGAAGCCGGGCCGGCAGCGTGCGGCTGTGCAAGGCAGTAGCTTGGCCTTGGCTGGCCTTTGGCAGCTGTGCCAGCTGCTCCCAGTTCTCCTCCTCCCCATTCAGCTGCCCAACTCCTTTGGGACGCGCCTTTGGCCTCTGGGCCCC